CCCACCATGGGGCCCCGGGCTGTATCATCTGTCTCATCTCCACTGACAGCATAAATACTTTCAGGGACTGCAACATTCTGAGCTTTCCTCTGTATGTGGGTCTTGGGACACACTCTTCCCTGCACTGGGTGGAGTTGCCTTGGCCTGCTCTGCCCCTTATCCCGTTCTGTGATCTGGTTGTGTTACTGTAGCCCAGGGATGCCTTTCCTGATGCCAAGTACCCGAAAGTGAGTAAGAAGGAAGTAAATAAGATGGGGATAATTGTTAAAAAGCAGAGTCTGGGGTGCAGGAGAGAAAGACAGGAGCACAAGAGAAGACAGAAACCCATCGAAACAGAGAGAAGTGTGAGGAGATACTGACAGCAGAGAAAGAGAAGCGGTGCAGAGGCGTGGGGAGGGGGTAAAGAACCAGGGGGACGTGGAGAAAGTGAGCTGGCGGATGTTTCTGGGCCTTGGTGATAGTGACTGGAGCGTGTCCACCTACAGACCAGGTGAACCCAAAGGGCAGACGGGGGTCTAGGACAGGCACAGCCCCACCTAGGAGATACCTGAGCTCCCCACATCTTCCTATGAGTTTTCCCTCTGTGATTTCCCCTTTGATGTCTACTGAGACCTCTGAGGGATTTCATTCCTTTCTACAGAGGGCAGCACTGCCTGTTTGGAAATATGTGATGGAGGAAAGCCCCAGGAAGCCTCGAGCTCCCCACCGAGATGTGAACCAGGTAAGGAAGGGGAGGATTTCTAGCCCTGGGCTGCAGGGTGTCAGGAGGTTGAACTCTGAGCAGTTGTTTCCTGATTGACTTTTCTGTGAACAGTGAAAGGACCAAGTTAATCCTGACATTTTTTTACATTTTCTATCCATGGACCTTTTGAGAAAGGCAGGGAGGAATTTTTATAAAATCCATGTTTAACATAATGGGTTTAATAGTTTGGACATATGTGTATGTATTCAAATATTCATGTAATAGTAGAAAGCTTCTGCATAGCAACCAACACCATCAATAAGGTGAAGAGACAACCTGCAGAATGGGAGAAAGTGTTTGCCAACCACACATCAGACAAGGGGCTAATATTCAGAATATACAAGGAGCTCAAACAACTCAGCACCCAAACAAAAGAAAAGAAAGAAAATACCCCAATTAAAAAATAGGCAAAGGATCTAAACAGACATTTCTCAAAAGAAGACATACAAATGGCCAATACGGACATAAAGAATACTCCCCATCAGTAATCATCAGGGGAATGCAAATCAAAACCACAATGAGATATCATCTTACTCTAGTTAGAATGTCTATTACCAACAAGACAAAAAGTAACAAAAGCTGGTGAGGAAGTAGAGAAAAAGAAACTCTTCTAGTTGCTGGCCAGAGTGTAAACTGGTACAGCCACTGTGGAAAACAGTATGGAGCTTCCTCAGAGAACTAAAAATAGACCTACCCTATGAGTGAGCTATCCCACTAGTGGGTAGGGAGGCAAAGGAAGTGAAATCAACATACCAGACAGACTCCTGTCCTCCACTGTTCATTGCAGCACTATTCACAGTAGCCAAGAGATGGAATCAACCTGCATGTCCATACACGGATGAGTGGATTTAAAGAAATCTGTGCTATATATACACAATGGAACACTACTCAGCTATTAAAAAAGTTAAATCCTATCATTTTTAGCAACATGATGGAACTGGAAACCATCATGTTACGTGAAGTAAGTCAGGAACAAAAAGACAAATACCGCATGATCTCACTCATATGCAGCATCTAAAAAGAAAAACGGTTCTCATAGAGGTAGAGAGTAAATAATGGTTACAGGATGGGGGAGGGGGAGGCGGAAGGAGCACAAAGGTGGGCTAATGGGTGCAAAACTCCACTGTCTACCCTAAATGAATCATTCTGCAGTATATGTATGTATTAAAACAACACATTGTACCCACAAATATGTACAAATAAATGTGAAAAAAAAAGAACCACTCCCTTTCTGTTATGAACCCTAACCTTAATGATGCTCAAATGAATGTTTGTGATATACTAGTCTTCTAAGGTCATTTACTCAAGTGCCTGAAGCCATTTATCCATGGACCATTTCAGGAACATCGAACTGAACATTTCCAAAGTTGAAGCCAACATTGTCTTCCCTGAAACTAGCAACTCTGTCTTCTGCGTTGCTCACTGTCTCACTAATGGCACCACTTTTATTCCATTGTCTCGAGCCAGAAACTTAGGATTTGTTCATGACTCCTTCCTCCCTTCCAGCCATACACTCCTCCCGATTTTCTCGCTATTTGTTTTTTCTGCCATGTTTGCCCACTGGGTGTTATACTGAGACTTCTGAGGGACTGCATTTTTCTCTGCAGAGGGTGGCAATGCCTTCTGGGAGACCCGTGACGAAGAAGGACCACTGGAAGCCTCCAGCTCCCCGCTGAGATGTGAGTCAGGTAAGGAAGGGGGTCGTTCCCAGCCCTGGGCTGCAGGGGGCCAGGAGCTGAACACAGGTGTTCACTGGTGGGTTTTATTCTTTTTTTTTTTCCCCAGGTCATTAATGCCTGAGCTCTTGTCAATGAAATTAAGATGATACCTACATACATCATACCACTGTGTTACCTACAACAAAGGGAGACATACCCATAGAAAGCTATATAATGTCAACACATTTGCCATTCAAATTAGCATCAACTGATCAAATATTTTTTCAGGAATTATTTTATTCAACATTTCCTTCTTGATATTCCCTCATAGAACTTAATAAAAGACCCCAATCCCTACAGGACAGGATAAAACATACACACACTCGTGAGTTTTATTCGGAGCACAGTCCAGTGAATCCTCTTTGCATTTACCCTGGTGTTCTGTGGGACAGACAGGGAGAAATTCTTGTAAATTCTGTTTAGAACAGTGTGACCCTTATTGTTAGAATATATGTGTGTTCCCTGCTCACGTTGAGGTAGTAAATACCAAGGAAAGCCAGTGTTCTTTTTCCTTTTCCCTCTTCTGCCTGCTCATACTAAAGATTCAATATTGTGATTTTGGCCTCTGCCCACCCCTGTTTGCTCTGAACTTCCTGGCTCCGCCTGAGCACGCCGAGGCTTGTTTCTGGGTCCCTGTGCGCCATCCATCATGTCTTTGTTTCTCTTCAGTGTCCAGTGATCTCGAAGCTCCCCAAATGACTGATGAGGAAGAACCAGAGGAGGGACCCAGCCAACCCCCAGGTGACGGAGAAGGTAACTGTGCTTTCAGTTCCCAGTCGACTATTCAAATCTTCGATTTTCTGTGTGTAGGAAGAAAAATTGCCCCCTTTCTTCTCCCACTCCCCCCTGCTCCCTTTCACATGCCCACACAGAAGAAATGTGGAGAGCCAGAGGAAAGGGTTACATGGAGAGAGAATTGGGTGACCAGGAAGGGAATGAGGTGGGTGGACTGTCCTCAGCCTCTGGTGACAGTGGCAGGAGCCAGGTTAACCTCCATGTCAGGTGGATCCAAAGGCAGGAGGGTCTGAAGGCAGGGACTTTCCCACCAAGGGGTCTATAGGTACCCACGGGAGTCTAGCAGGGTTCGGTGGAAAGAGACTTTTGTTTAATGAATAAAGAGCGCTTAGGAAGAGAAAAGGGAAAACCATAGAGTTAGCAAATATGTGGATGCCGTCTACAACATGAGACAGGGATACCAGATGAATAGAGCCAGAAAAGATAAACAGGCAGTGTGGAAAAGAG